TCCCCCCCCAGGGGGGGTGGGGGCCCCCCCCCCCCCCCCCCCCCCCCCCCCCCCCCCCAAAAGAAAACCCCCCCCCCCCCCCCTTCTTTCTCAGGGCAACAGCAAATACACAAATCGTTTCCCCAACTTCTCCCCATCTGGAATAGGAATTGTTTCAGAGTAACCAAAACTTTCACTTTAGGGGTTCTCTTCTATGTATAATAGATTAGGAAATTCAAACAAATCCAATATTGAGATTTCTTCTGGAATTGAGAAATTGAAATGTGTTCTTTTGAGGAAGCAAAATGAAGTGTTTGACTTGCCCAAATGATTTTTTTTTTGGCTGATTTCACACACCAAATTCAGCATGAATGTTTTAGTCATTATGAACCTTTTGGTGGTTAGGGGAAGGAAGGCCTCCTCCAAAACCATGCACCTCTTCTGTCTCAAGGCATCTCCAAAGTATGTTGTCTTTAGCCTGCTCGCTATCTCACAACCACTGCCCTTGTTTTGTGCCTCTCTAGAGTGTGCCCTGGAAGATGAAACCTATGAGGATGGAGCAGAGACCCAGGTGGAGTGCAACCGCTGCGTCTGTGCCTGTGGGAACTGGGTGTGCACTGCAATGACATGCGAGGGTCCGTATGCTCTCCAGACAGTTACTGTATTTGGTTTTGTACAAAAGGGGGTTTTGCCTTCTGTCTTTCCGAGGGCACCAGCTATCCAGATTTCTTCTCCCTCCAGCTCTTCCTCAGCTTCTCTGTGGGTGGCTTCTGCATCGCTCTCCTGTGCTCCATGTTGGCCAAACCCAAGCTGGTTTTGTTTTAGAGGTCAGAAGGTGTGTTACTGGGTTGGGGGCAATGCTGCTGGGGTTTGTGGTTTGGATTTGGTGTCATGAAAGTTCAGCACCAAACCTTCCAGACCAGAGATACTCTGCATCCAGCTGGCTTGGGGCATGCACAGACCAAATAGGTCACTGTCTGAAACCATATGTGTAGGTGTGAGCAAGTCAGCTTTCCTGTATGTGTGTCAGTATCCTTGCTGTATCTGTGTTTACGGTATCTGTAAAGCAGGAGCTAGGGTCTTGTCTTGCCCCAGAGAGGAGATAGGAGACTTCATCTAGTAACGTCAAGAAAGCACTTTAGCTTCTTGCCCTAAGAACTGAAGAAGTAAAAGAAAATAATGGTGATGGAGATGAAGGGAGGTGGTGTTCATAGTAAGGCAGGGTTGTTGGTCTGTCCTTCCTCTGGAGGGTCCTTTTCAAACTTGCACAGCCTTGTTACAATTATGGGAAGTCATGGTGGGGTTGTGAACAACGGTGCTCCATTTTGCCTTCTCACAGACAGTCCAGGGTCAGTGGAAAGCCAGCTTTCCCCTGCCTTGGGAAATGTATGGGTCCTTTTCAAGGGGCCACGTCCACCCTCCCAGCATTGCGCTGCATTTTTCTGGCCTTCTTCCCCAGAAACCAGGCCTTTGCATGAGCTCAGTTTTCAGTGCTGTGCGGGAGCTGTCAGCAGTATGTTGGTTCAGATCTATAGCCAGTAGCTTGGGCAGATGAAGGAGAGAGGGGAACAGCAACAAGTATGTACAGAGTTTCTTTCACGTTTATCTGGCCTTCTGCAGCAGAGGCTTCGTGATCACCTCAGCCCAGATTTGGCTGTGGCAGCAGGAACTCACCTCAGAAAAGATACCTGTAATACTAATAAAGCTGCCAGAGGAGCTGTGGATGGGTCTCAGAGGTTAAGCAGCTGAATGAGAGGCTGTTTTTGCTGCCTCCCCAGAAACAACCTTCAAAGTTGCTATGCAACACCCGGTCTTGCTGCCTACTTTGTTCCCTGCATCCATGGCAGAAGCATGCAATGGGACAACAATTCCTTGACTTTCTGCCCTTGTCAGAGCAGCAGAAGGGTTAGAGGCTATTGTTAGAGGGATGATGAAACCAAAGAATCAGATCAGATACATCAGCCAGTTGCATCTCCACTGAGCGAAATTACCTCTTCATTAAGCATCAATACTTGGATAGCACTGAGCTTCCATTTATTCCCTACAAGAGGCCAAGATGTTTGAACTAATTATAGGTGCTTCTTTTAAATAATATGCAGCCTCTTCCTTGTGGTTTTATGATTTATCATCACGTGGGAGGGGGAGACAGGGACAGACGGGATACCCAGGTTCTGAAGTCCCAGGGAGCCACAAGGCCCCATTCTCTTTCTAAGAAGCCAGCCTATACCTTCCTCCAGCAAAGCTTTCCTAAGCTTGAGGTTGCTGTGGCCGACCTGCCTCTTTTTGTTCTCTGTGGTTCAGCCTCTGAAATTTGCATCCCCCGTTTGTGGTAACGCTGAACTCCATTTCTGTTTGCAGGGAAGAATGAGAAGGTGCCTGCTCAGAGACAGCGACCTGATCAAGACTTGACTGAGGAGGAGCTGGCTAGATACGTTCAGGAACTGCAGAAGCATCAGGTTAGCGTGAGGCTGGGGAGGTCTTCTTGCACTAAGTCTCTCCTTGCTAGAGGGGTTCCCTCTGCTTCTGTCACTTGGAGACTTCTGGTAGAAGGGGGAGCACAGTAAAGGGGGATCCCCGTTGCCTGTGGGGACAAATACAGGTGTGGGGCTTCGACGTATAAGCCAGTGTTGGCACTGCTTGTGGATGGACCAAAGGCTTCAGGGCACTGCCAGCTCCTGTGTCAGTGCAGAGCTTCACTTTTGTGCTCTCTTTCTCTAGGAGACGGCCGAGAAGACCAAGAGAATGAGCACCAAGGAGATGTAAGGGGCCTCCACACCGGAGGAGCCCAGGAGGATGGGCCCAACCTGCCGCCCTGTCCTCCAGTGCTGATCTCAGTATGCACAAGTGTCTGCTACAGTTGCCCAGTCACAGATATTTACATTGTATAGCGATGGGTTATTTGTTTTGTAATACACAGAGAATGGGGCCAGGAAAGGGGAGCAGAGCCCACCTGTTCAGGGAGCTTCATTGCTGGGGCCTTGGAAGGCTGGGAGGGACTTACAGCAGCCTCTGGGACCCTTTCCCAGAGCAGACAGCTGCTCCCTCCAAGAGCTAACAGGGATTTCTTGTTCCCCTGGATCTGGGGAAAGGACGGAGGTCAGTGCTGGATGGAAAAGGGGGTCTTCAATCGATACAATTGTCAGTACTGGCCTTGGCTGCAGAAATACAGGCCCGGCAGTTTTGTGGCTTAGCACGTGTACTGCAGGGCATCACTAGCCAAGGACCTTGCCCTGCTTACCCTCCCCTTTGGTCCGAGCTCCTCAAAGCTGGTCAGCCTGGTGTGACACCTGGAAGTTGTGGTGCCATGCTGCTGGCATGAGTCCAGCACGTTCCTCCTTGCTTTCCACCAGACTGTCCCCAGCAGCTCCTCCAGTACATTGTGGGCTCCAACACAACATGGTTCCTTTTGACCTCATCTCACTCTTACTCTCCCTGCCCCCTCCTTAGAGGTGCTATCATATTTTTTTCTTATCACATTCACATGCTGACTCCCCCTTTTGTGGTTTTTTTTTTTAATTACTTTATTTCCTATGGTAGTAATTCAGCTTTTGTATGTTTCGTAGCTCTAGATCTTTCAAGAAAACCCAGCCTGTGGGTTTTTGTTATTGACAGTGCTGTAATGCCCATGCACAGTTTGTATCGCACTGCGCTCAGCCACCGCAAACACCACAAGCAACTTGTGAGCCCTGCACTACAGGGTATTTCCCAACTGGGGATAGCAATGTCTTCATGGGAAGAAGAGACAGGGCTGGATGTAATGAGTTTCACCAGGCACGGATTGACACTGCAGCTCTCTCTAGCTCTTGCTCCCTTAGCTAGCATTGACCATGTGCTCAAAGTCCATGCTCATGCCTCTCTAAATTGCCCAGAGGGAAGTGCCAAGTAGTCTAGAGGCAGAGGGACCAGGCAATCCCATTAGTAGGGTATCTTAAAAGGCTTAACTACATAGAAAACTGTTTAGTTGGAGTCTGGGCTGTTAGCCATCATTTTGGGCTTTCCATCTCCTCCTGGGGTGAGGCAGCAGCATTATTCTTTGATTCCAGGTCTGGGTTTGGAGTCAGGGCTGGAAGCCTCATTACTGGCGCATTTCACAGTGTCTTTGATCAGACCATCTTTGACCACCCTCACATCCCTTCATGGGTCATTTTCATCTGACCCGTTTCTCAGAGCATTGGTCCTAGATATAGATGAAATGCTGCTTTGTTGACAGTCACCTCTGTAACCTCAAGCCCAGCTGATTTTCTCCTGTCAAGTGTACTTCATACACTCACACACCTGAACATCCTGTTTCCCCATTCCCTTCACGCCCCTGCTGTGCATCTCAAGCAGTTGCACATACCCTGAGTCGAGATGCCTGCTTGTGACTCCACCTTCCTGTTTGTGAGCAACTTCAGCAGTTGTTGCCAGGTGTCCTGCAGTCCCTAGTGCTTACTCAAGCAAAACTCCACTTGCATTTGCAAAAGCATGTTCTGCTTGAGTGAAGATTAGCAGGGCTTTTGTCCCAAACTTCCCCTTTTTGCACAGTGCTTTCCTTGGAGAGGAAGAATGAGCTGGTACCTAGCAAGTATAGGCAAAGAAGAAAGCTTGGTCCCTCCTGCGGTCTCGCCCGTGAGCCAGATTTGTTAAAGGCTGTCTGGTCTTTGAGCTGTTTTCCTGATGTGAACCCAGAGGACTTCCATTGACTTTGGCACAGTGCCACATTTCCAGTGAGAATCATAATCTACCCCCCACGCTCGGAAGTTTTGGCATAATAAATACAGAAGGGGGCTGGTTCTTTTCCCGTGCGGGTCTGGATTTGAGAAGCTGTCACCTGTGAAGGTGAGGGCAATGAGTCCATAGGAGCTGAGGGTAATGTGGGCAGCACTACACTGGGATGGAGTCATTGTTTGTGTTCTGGTAGCACTGGAGGAAGTGTTTGGTGGAATAGGAGCACCCATTGGACATACCCTCGCTCCTCCCCAACAGTATGAGCAAAACAGCTTCATGTGCTGGATCTGGAGTCACAGGAACATTGTTAATAAATGTTTTGCTTTATTCCGACCCTGCTCTGAAAGGTAGTTCGTGCCTCCCAGCTCACTTCCTTCCGGCTTGGATCATTAAAGTGCCTTAGAGAAAACACAACAGCTTGCCTTAAAGGCTTTCCCTGGATGGGGAGAAGATCTTATTGTCCAGTCAGAAAAATCTCCAACGGGGAGAAGCGGAGCATGTGCAGGAAGGGGAGGCTAATCCATGGCTGAAGGGCTTCTGTAGGCTGCATTATGCGATACGTTCTCTAGTCCCCTTCCTGTCTCCTGTGGACGTGCAGTCTACGAGGATGGCTGGTGGGGACAGCTGGAGAGGTGGGTGCTGGCAGTTGAGGTTTACAGAGCTTGCGCTTGCACTGAGGGCAGAGGGATGGGCTGCTATCTCAGGCAAGGCAAGCTGAGCTCTCCGGCAAGCCATACAACATATCCTAGGATAGCCTGGGGCAGCAGGGTAGGAGTGCAGTAAACGTGCCTCCATGGAAAGTGCTGCCGCCTGTGGAGCGGTTTCCTCCTTGTGCCCTCAAAGAGAAACGCAGCTGTGGAGGGCGATGCCGGTTCTAAGGGCTACGGTACCCAAAGGGGACCAAAACATCTCGCCTCCCCACACCGAGGGGAAGTGCAACCGTTTGGTGAGCGATGCCCAGACTACTCTGCAGTAGGCTGGTCAGTCGCGAACTTCTGTGGGGTGACTTGGCTGCTGGGGAAGGAAGTGCTGAATTCCAGCCATTGCCCTCTGGGACAATTGCTGTACAGACTGCAAGGCGATGCCCAGAGCAGTAGGCAGTAGGCTGGTCAGTCGCGAACTTCTGTGGGGTGACTTGGGGAAGGAGGTGCTGAATTCCAGCCATTGCCCTCTGGGACAATTGCTGTACAGACTGCAGGGGGCAGGGAAGGCTTTTTTTTTTTTTTCCCAAAAAGCCAAATTTAAGCAACAAACAAAAAAGTCCCACTCCTCCCTCTATATTCCCACCTGTACGTGTGTGAAATTTATCAGTATTCTGTAGGTTTCCTTAGTGCACTTATTTTACTTGATTTTGTAATTTTTTGAAGCAGGGGGGTTTGGATATTACTGCCAAATAAATGAAACAAAATTTAAAAAATAACGTGTTTTGTTTTATTTCTCACAAGCCACATTCCTCGTTTCCCTCTTCCAAAAACAAATCGGCTGTCTTTTTGCACATTTATACACGGATCTCAATGCGCTTGACAAATGTGAGACACGGCTGTCTCTGTTTTATAGCTGGGGAAACTGAGGTACAGCAGGGAGAAGTGGAAAGTTGCAATCGTCTGGCGAGCCAGTGGCAGAGATGCAGGTGGCAACCATGACTCCTGCCTCCCAGCCATGCGCTTTTAATGATGAGATTGCGCCACAATCCTTTCAGTATCCCCCGTTCGCTCCCCCAGCACACGCTCCACCTGTGCCATCGGGAAAGAAAAACCTAGCAGCTCTCCATGTGTGATGTGATCACAAGATGAACGTGAGTTAGGGTCATGCTGCCGATACAAAGGCAAACCATTGTAGAATGGGAAGAGCACAGAGGGACACAGGCAGTGAAGTACGGGACAATTGCTCTGTCCTGTGTGGCATCGGGGGAGCCTCAGCTGAATACCTTCTGGTTTGGGCAGTGCCTATCACAAAACGGGTGGATTAGGTGGAAAGAACCCAGAGGCAAGTAAAAATAGTAACTAAAGGCCTTGAAAACGTGGCTTACAAGGACAGATCAGAAGCCTTAGGCACAGTTAAGAAGGAAAGCTCTAAAAGTTTGGCTTCAGGTGGAGACTGCTACCAAGATGAACATACCCATCTCGCTGTGGCGGATGGGACACTACCTTCAGTTGCGGCAGCCAAGGCAGATCTAGATGAGACATCAGGGAATGCTTTTGAATGCCAAGGTTAGCAAAGAACTGGAAGACGCTTCCTTGATAATTCACAGACTTCCTCCCTGTATGGATTTTAAGACCAGACTAGAGTAACAGCTATCGGGAATAGACCCAAGTATAGCTGGTCCTACCCTAAGAAGGGAGAACAGGCTGGTGACCTTCCTGAGGTCCCTCCTCTTTCTGATAGGACCTTATGAAGACAGGGCTGATTGATTGACTGATGCCACCTTTGCTGAACTGAATGATGAAATGGCCTTTAATGGTGTCGTGTAACAGGAGGATAATGTCTTACCATTCAACATTGCCTCTTCAATGTTACTTTTCACACCAAGTGGCCTCTTTAGCATGTACCAGCTGCTGTGTATGCACTCTTAACTGTGGCACTCCGTGCCCGTTCACTGCTCAACTGCAAAGTGGGTCTGCTTTATTACTTTAATTTCTACTGCTAGAATTTCCCAGGATTTTAAGATGGAATGAAAGGAAGTGTCAGCCACGAATTTAGCTAGATGGCACTATAAATACTTTGCCTTGTGCATCATGCATACTTACTGAAGCGAAATGGTTTTGGGGTGGGAGAGAGGAAGAGCAAAAAGTCTGTTGCCCACTGCTAGCAGAGGCCTGGCAAAAAACTCTGACCTGTCTGTTTATGGAGTTAAGCACATCTGAGTATTAGCAAGTTGCTGCACTATAGCTACATACACTTAATCAGTTCACAATTCTCCAGCACTGTTAAGCTTCAAAGTGAGAAATAGGCCATTTAAGTGGTTGATCAAGACTCTGAACTGTATTTGAAAGGTATTTATTAACTTTAATTCTGAAGATGGGAGGGAACTGATCTATAATAAGACTCGGTTCCTGAAAAAAACTGAACCAGTTCACAGGACACAATTTTGGGAGAATACAGGCTTAAAGCACTGCAGGAGACAAGAGCAAAATCCAGATGACCTTACTCTTGTGCTTACATAAACCCTCCCACAAACTATCCTGATCCAGCTGAAACAGCACAACCTTTATAGAGTGGGCAAAATTATACTGAAAAGAAATAACTATACTGAAAGAAATAACTATGCTGGTAGAGTGTCTGCTCTTATGCAGCTCTCTCTGGGTTCACATCAGGGGTTGCTTCTTGTGAATCCATAGAGCCTTATAAAACAAGTGAAATGAGTCCAACTGAAGGTGACCTGTTCATTCCCACCTGCTACGACACACCCTTTCTTGAAGGCTGGGCATAGCCCTCACAACTCCCTGCTCTGCCACTTCAGAATATTTGTAGTGGTAAAATCCAGTGTTCATAGGAGCGCCAAAGGAAGGACAAGTGGACCATGAGTTTTGTACACACTATTCCGGACACCTTCGAACTCAGCGTCATTACTGGTTCACGCATTGTTTTTAAACTCTTGGCTGGTACAAGCCAACCATGGTTTGTTTGCATTTCTTCCACTCTGAGATGGCAGAGACTTTTCTGTATATGAAGTGTTTTAAGCAGGTGGGAGATTGCCGCTCCCTTCTTTTTGGTTCCTGTATACACCACAAGGAAGCAAGTCTGTTTCTTAAGCCCAGACTTTGCCAGGGCAAAAGTTCCCTTGGGCTGTTAATCTTCTCATTGTCATCACACATTGCTGCTGCTTCTTCTTCCAATGGATGATTACTGATTACATCGCTGTTAACCTGTGTCCAAAGGGCGATGAATTGAAATCACAAATTTCACGTTGCCTGTTCATATCTGGTACAACCAGGGCCCACTCCATATCGGCCTGTAACCTGCATCAGGCCTCTTTGCCTGACAGACTTAGGTGTTGTGGATTAACTCCTGCCAATGCCCTGGCTCAAGATTAAAGCTGTCTTTTCACATCCAGGCAAGGAGATACACCAAGGTACTTCTGGGGAGGCACCTCTGTTTTGGTGCCCCACCAGCAGCAGGACTGCAAGGACCAAAGCAGACAAACCCTGGACAGAGAGAGGCCTTGGGCACAGGTGGAAGAGAGAGCGCCTTTCCCTCGCGGTCTGAGGATGAGTGAAAAGGACAGGAAGAAGGTCATTTTTTAATTTTTCAGTCAGAGAGACTCGGAGCTTTAGCGCTGCCCAACTTCAGCGAGCCTGGCGTATAACCCTTTGAAGGGAGCAGGTGCCATTTCCAGGCCTGCCGCGGGCACCCAGCGGTTCTCCAGCAGCCCGGCTGGCCAGGCCCGCCGGGAGCGGGCTGTAACGGTGACCCGGGGGTGAGTAACGGTCCCACGGGGGCAGTAACGGTAACCT